TGGTTTGGATGACTGCGTCTTTTCAAATCCTTTCTTTGTCACGAAGTTGTTCCTGGAATCACTCGTCAGGTCGTCTTCTTGTTTCGTTGATGTCTTAGATTTCAATTAGTGCAAGTTAAGTAACGGATGACCCTGGCTTGGATACAGAAGAAGTGATCAGTGATTACTGCACTTGTACAAACCTAAGTATCACTCACTGTTTGTGCTGCTATAAAGCCTACTAATGGCGCTGAGGGGGCGTTGATAGGGGCAAATAAGAAGAACACAGACCAATCTGTCTAGGATTTTGACCCAAATGTAAGGAAAACAGATGAAGATTTAGATAAAGTTATGCACGTAGTTTATCTGCGTCAAAATAAATTTAAGACATATGTTGAGGAAGACCTCGACTTGAGCTCTAACGTAATCATGGAGACCATTGTCTTCTCAAATGAAAATAGCCAGAAAGAAGATTGACGCATTTCACGTGTAGAGAATTTCCCCTGCCATATGCTGTAATTTTCAATTGCAAAAAAAAATTTGTTCTTTAAACTCACGCTACAAATTATCTAATTTCACCAGCCAGTTTATTGTTGGTCATTATCAAGTAAAAATTTTCTATATTTAGTATCATTCTAACTCATTTAGTTCTCGAAACGAATGTTCGGCTCGCTTTAAAAAGAGAAGACTGTTAAAGAAAACAAGTTAAGGTTTAACATAAGCTCTACAACTGAAAACATGGCGTCATGTACATATTTTTCATAACACCTTTCTGGAACTTGTATTTGGAGATAATGAATGATGTTATTGCTTCCATTTTGAAATCACTGGTGATCTTTGAAATCTGATTGGCTCTCAGGAGTATGATTTACTTACGAATCGCACTATTTTTGCTCTAAATGGCATTTTTGGTCTGAAATTATACTTTTGATTTAAAATCAAACTTACACTGCGCAATGCGCACTCGTTCGGTTAGTTGAAATCACGTATATGATATGGCACTCCATTCAGTTCAGTTACCATTATGAATAAGATTCCGATTTCACGCTGGTATTCAGAATATTTTTATCTCTTTCAGATAAAGCAAGTATCGCGTGAGAGTTGCTGATCAACATTTGGCGTCAAGCACATGACAGGGTTAATCACGGAAAGGTACTTAAGATACGTAGACGACAAAAGCAATAGAAAAGGTTGTGGTTATTCATCGTGGTGAATTCAGGCGATGAAGAAGACTGGCAGTATGCAGTCGAAACGTCGCGATCTACATCACACGTGACTACGTCATGAGACAAACAAAAAACTTAGCTTTTATTGACAAAAGCAATGTCCAAAGTCCCGCGCCCCTTTAGTAGACTGCGCAAAAAGTGCGGCCTTTTATATTTTGAATTTTGAAGAAATATTGAAAATTTTCGTATTATTGTAACAGGCTGCGACGGCTATTTATCAACTGGTTCATACGTCAGCGTGCTTCACCGATATATAAAGAACGCGGGAAGTTTATGCTTCATGCCTAGATGAACGAACGCTGACATATGAACCAAATGTTTTTTGTCAGCTGTGCATTTAACAAGATATGAATCACTTAGAAATTTTAAAGAGAACTCAAGAAGCTTGAGTTGCTTGAGGCGCCACACGGGACCAATTTCCACCTTTGATTTACTGAAGGCCTTTGGTTCAAAGGAAACAAAGAAGTCAGTTTGGATGCCGAAAACAACGAGAAAGTTTTTAGTATTTTGACATTTTTCAAATTTCCTATTTAAAATGCAGTTTAACTGACTGGTTGTGCCACTTTAAGCCTTTATTTCTCGCTACGTGTTAAAAATGAAAGAACTTCAGTATCTCCCGGCTAAAGTTCCTCAAGCTTCTCACCAAGAAAGAAAAGGTTTTTATTTACTTTCCGCGATTTCACCTTTCATTTGATAGTTTTTTTTTCTAAATTTAAGCGTTTTTAGCACTTTCTGGGGAAAATTTTGACGAGAACTCCATGAAAGCTTAAATTCAAGATTTCAAATGGAGGGGCCGGTTATTTACAAGAACTCTGACACAAACTTATCCGTATGATGGTTGATTTAATTAAATCAATGTCCGTCGACTGTTAATTTCGGCCCTCTTGAAACTGCTTACAAAATTAAATGCTCCAATGAAAGGTTCAGCTAAATTGAAGATGGCTTAGAACTCGGGTTTTTTCAAACAACAGTTAAACTTTGTTTAAATAATCAAACCGAAAAGTTTGAAAGCCACTCATCTCCGGCGCGAGGTTTACAACCCTTTCTGGAGTTTTCCCAACGGTTCCGCAGTGGTTTATTACCCAGCAAACTATTAGAAAGAGCGGTTTATTACTTAAGTAGTACAGTGTTAAATGTTGTTAAATGTTGTTCGTTCGTCTTCTGCATTTCTTTTAAAACAAAACAAATGGAACCTTAAGTCTTATGGTTTTAGAACTTTTACAGTAGCTGCTCCCTTTTTATGGAACTCCTTACCTTTAGAAGTCAAGTCTTCGCCCAGTTTGAATATTTTTAAATCTGAACTGAAAACACACCTTTTTAAATGCGCTTTTAATCTAAATTAGGCAGTGTTCACACTTGGTGCCCGGGCACCGTGCTCGGGTTCTATTCTACGCCGGGCACCAATGTGAACACACCTTTTTTCCTGATACCCACGCCAGAATTCGGGCACGGTGCCGGTGCCCGAGTACAAGGTCTCGACCTTGTACTCGGGCACTAAACTGGGCACTGAGTCCTTGTGTGAACACATTTTTCGTTGGTGCCCTGGCACTTTACCCACAAACCACTTGTTTTCCTACCCACAATTCCTTGTCCCACTCGAGATTTCAAAATGGCGTCCGACGGTGCAAAGTGGAGTCAGGATGAAACTAGTGCACTTATAGATGCTTTCAGTGATGCAAAGACGTCAGCAGAGCCCATGACAACAAACAAAGACTTATATTCCTCAATCAAAGGCCTGCTTGAGCGAAACAATGACATCCAAAGGACAGCGAAGCAGATAGAGACAAAGTTAAAGAAACTGAAATCCGGGTACAGCAAATTGAAAGATAGGATGAAAATATCAGGAGCAGAGCGACCGTATGATTCAAAAGCTCTTTCAAGCCAGGAGAAGGCAGCATTTCAGCACTGGGATAAGCTTGACCGTATTTTGGGTAGGTTGAGTTATGTTTGTGTAACAAATAGAAAGTTATGCACTTGTGATTGTCAAGTTCAAGTGAAGCATTTGTGAACTTTGACCGCAACCTTTACATGTCATAACTTTGAAAATGCAAATATTTATATGGAGGGGAGTACCTGTTTATATATAGCACATATGAAGATTTTAATATACAAAATTTCAATGGACTATTAAAATGTTAACAGATTTGAAGAGGAAAGAATTACTGTCATTACCTTCTTCATGGTGATAATCCTGATAAACCACTTCATTGGATAAAACACAAAAATAGCTCTTAGCCCTACTTTGGGAATTTTCCTGCCCTAAGTAAAACTTAAACTTTCTTATTTCATTATTTTCATACACCAGGTAAACCAAAACTATTCTGTTATATTTAGGTGGGATATCAAAACAGATCCTCTTTGATTTTTGTTATCAATAAAATGGTATGCTTGTCATCCAGGAACACACCCTGTTGAAGGCCCTCCAGAGGAACATTTGCTCGAAAGCTCAGCTACAGGAGAATGTGTGGATGCACAATCAAATGCTGAAGTAAGAGTAGCAGAATCAGGTACAGAAGAACCAACTGCCGTTATTGCAGCATCAGAACCAAATACAAGAACAAGTACAGCAGAAGCAAATTCTCAGGCTACTCATCCATCAAAAACACCAAAGAGAAAGAGTGGCAGGGCATGTAAACCTAAGAAAAAACCTCGCCTGTGCGATGTAGTGGAACAATCCAATGAGCAAGATGCAGGATTACATGCAGAATAATTCAACTACACCCAAGGCACGATCTAAAGAAAGAGAAGAAGACCGAGAATTTTTTCGCCACATGTTTGGTATGATGTCGCAAACTATGATGGGCATGACCCAAATGCTACTTCAAGGAGCTGGTCCAGGATATCATCCACCAAACCAGGTATATGCTCCTCAAAGTGTCCAGCCAAACTACAGTTTTCTACCCAGTGGCATGGGTTTTGGTTTTGATACTCCATCAGCAAGACCATCATCATCAAGCTCAGTTACAAGTGATCCATCATCAGTTGAAGAAAACGACTATTTTACCTTATAGAAACTATCAAAGCAGGTGCATGTTTCATGACACTAATGGTGACTTTGTTGTTATGTTGAGTTGAAACGGTAATAATTCATTTTGAAGCAAAAACACACTTTTTGTCACGATGCATTTTACACCTTAAGTTTGTTTTGTTTTGGATTTACTAAGGCAGAAACTATAAGCGATTGTTCGACCTTGGTCTCTATTGTTAGTTTGTTGGGGAAATGTACACAATTGTCTTTCCAGAAACAGAGCAATCAGTAATTTCTGGTTAGGCTGGTCACTTCAATTTTGTGTTTTATTTATTGAAACTCTGTCTATAATAAGTTGTTGAAAAAATACAATAACACTTTAATGGCAGGAAGTCAACTGACAAAGGAGTGTGTTAATTTTCTGGGGATAAAATGTTAACTGTATAGTAAAAAGCAACTGCATAGCAAAAACAACTGTATAGTTAAAACACAACTCTATTTTCCATCAAAATAAAACACATTGCGAATTTAACTATAGCATCTCAAAAAGTTGATGCGTGGAACTGTTTTCAAACGCTCATAAGTCAATATCGAAATACAGCTGAACTATTAAATGGTCCTGGCTCGTCGTTAATTCCTTTTATTGTAATCCGAAAGTTAAACAAATATGAAACCATGCAGTTCACGTAACATGACTTTGGTGATCAGTCGTTGTACAAAAAATGAGCCAAGATATTCCTAATAATATTAGAATTGCTATCTGCGTCATCATCGTTCAGCGGATCGGGTCGAGGTAGGTCACCAATTTCATCTTCACCCAACCTGTTTCACTCTTCGAGGTAGCACTCTTTTCGCTCTTCACACATGTTGTGCAGGATACAGGCTGTTGTGGCATGAAGTACAACTTTATCGAGTTCGCATTCCAACGCCTTAAGCAGACATCTCCATCTCCCTTTAAGCCGTCCAAATGCCCTCTCGATCTGTATGCGGGCGCGACTGAGTCTATAGTTAAAATGCTCTTTCTCAGGTGTGAGATTGCTGCCTGGGTAGTTTTTCATTAGATGCTTGGAAATGGGGTAAGCTGGATCCCCAATAAGAAATGGCTCAATGACGTGGTTATCGATAACCCGTCGCAAATTTGAATCATCAGGAATCAGTCTTCCCTCTGTTATCAAATTTCCTATCTGAGAACGCCCAAACACCCTAGAATCGTGTGCTCGACCAGGCCAGCCAGCAAAGACATCAGTGAAGCAGCACTGGCTGTCACAAACACCTTGCAAAATAACTGAATGGAAACATTTCCTGTTATAATAGTCCGCATGGTGGACGAGGGGGGCTTTTATGGGTATATGGGTACCGTCAATGGCACCCAAACATTGGGGAAAATTCCACTTTCTCTGGAAACCATTTATGATTCTTTTAAAATCTATTCCTCTTTGTATTTTGCTTATGATGTGCATCTTGGAACTAACCAGGAGTTTCATAGCTTCGTTAACTTTAATGCATGCAGTAGAAGCACCGACTCCAAATTTGTCTCCGATCTCTCTGTAGTCCAGTCCTTTTCCCAGACGTTTCAGTAGCATCGCTACAACTGTTCGTACAGGTACAGGACTACGCAGTCTCGTTACCTGTCGCTGAAGGCTCCGCAAATCATGCGTCAACTGTTCAAACATATCTTTGGAGATACGATAACTTTCCAGCCATTTTCTGTCAGGAAAATGAAGGAATTCGTGTTCTAGAACATTCTGAATTCGTGGGATTTTCCAAGCTGCTCTTCCTCCACTATCACTCGTTTCTGCAAGGAATACATTCAACCTACTTGTAATGCTAGCGCAGACTTCCGTGACGATCCGAGATAATCTTCGCTTGTCGTCGTCATCCGCGGTGTCTCTTAAATGTTTCATGTAGAAACACAGCATTACAAAATTAAAAAAGCCATAAAAAACAGTAAGCAAGCAGATATACTGAACACGAAACAAACGCATGTTGCGACTCGAACAATTTCTCAATAGTGAGCGTGTGCTCTGTTTATTGAATGTGAACATATCTTCAGACTGGGTACCGTGTGTCTGAACACAGCACCATTTTGTGCCGGTGCCCGGGTACTAGTGCCCGGGCACCAAGTGTGAACACTGCCTTAGATAACTTAATCTTTTGTTTTTATATTTCTAAGTCATACTGTAATACAATGGATGTAAAGCGCTTAGAACGCATGCGGATAAGCGCTATATAAGTGTTAAATAAATGTTGTTAAATGCTTATGAAAATTTTCCTCAGCGATTGACTGCAAAGTTCCCGTCCAGTTTGCCCGCAAGTTTTGAGATTTTCATGTTTTTCAGGTCATTCCAGATTCTTTTTTGGTGTTTCAAGAAGGTTTTAGCCTGTGTTGTTTACAGCTTTTGGTTTATTATATGAACGATAACATTAAATTAGAGAAAGATGATTTTTGAGTCCCTATGAGGAATTTTGAGTCCCCACGAGGAATCGAATCTCAGACCTTTGGATTCCGCGCTCCGACGCTCTGGCATCCGAAGGTCTGAGGTTCGATTCCTCATGGACTTAGAATCTTTTCTTTGTCTTACGCTCGTGACAAGACGAAAAACTTCTTTCTCTATTTCTTTACCGTGCTACCATTTACCATCTCTCTTATTCTATTGCAAACGTTAACTTACTAACAAACTATTTTATAATATTGGCTAATTCTTCATATTAATGCAAGGCTTGACCACATTTCATTTGTCAAGAGTGAGAGGTTCCCTCTCTGATGGGTCAGAATTTTCCCTACGAATTAAAAAAAATAATAAAGTTGTTCAATCGCGCAGGTTAATAGTTCGGTTGAAGGTACTCCCTTTCGAAAATACCAGTGAAAGTCATCAATCAACCGATGAGTTATTTTAAGTCGAATGCTATAAGCCAGTTTCCTTTCGGAAAACTGATTGGTTAATTACTATTTTGCTATTGGCTGGAAGACTCAAGATGCAGGTCTTAGTCAATTGTGATTGGTCAGTTCTAATACGTTGGTAAAATAGGGTCGTTGCGTTCGCTTAATCTGGATTTCATTACTCAGGCAACCTGGTGTTTTTCAAGAGGCTAATTACGAATTAATTCCAATAGGATTTCGAAAAAATCTACCTGACAAACTGTAGTTCAGCGCTCTGTTTGCATGAGCAGTCGTGGAAATCGTTGATCTGGTTTCTCTTAAAGACCATGAGACAAGCTTACAAGAAATTTAAAATTTGTTTCTGTCCTCGTGCATGCAAGTCAAGCCAAATGGGTCATTACAACAAAACAAATAACAAAGTATTTTAGTTCTAGTCGACCTCAGTTACTTTCCTTCCTGATTATGCCAAAAAAGAGGTTCAATGGCAGTTACTTGCAAGGTGCTTTTTACAAAAACAACTGGTGCTACCGTTATCGACTTGGCTACTGACCTTTGAGATAAATTTTCACGCAACGTGAAAAAACAAATCAGCACGACCTAATATGTATATAAAAAAATAAAAACAAAACAGAAATGAAGATATTAACAGAAAAATATTTCTTAAACTTGAAGAAAAAAACCTAACAGACAAAAAATCTTCTTTTCGAAAAAAAACTATCTTCTTTAAGTTAAAGTATGACAGAACTAATCAGTGGAAGATATAGCAAACAAATCATTGGAAAGTAAAATTTTTAGTGTACCCACTTGAAAAAAGCAGATGAAAGCTGCTACCTGCATAAAAGTAAAAAACGGAGAAAAAATCCTTGTTATGTGAATGGTTATTTCTGTCAAGGCAAAGGTCATTTTTTATCACCTGGGAGAGGAGGAAGGGAAGGGGGGGAGGGGAGGGGGGATTAAAGATTTTGGTGTCACGTTAAAACATACTAAAATATTTGAAATATTCCTACGATCCCCCCCTCAATAGTATTTATTTGGCAGTCGCCTGGCGACGACTGATCTCCCATCTGTTTCCTTTGAAAACCATGTGATCCCCACCAAAATCCTCCATTACCACCCCATCGCCCCAGTCGATAAATACTGACTTATCCCTAAACTCTTTCATCAAGTTTCGTAGCGTAGATCAAATGCCTCTAATGATGAAAAAACACTTACACTCATGGCCCACTCAAATCCAAAATGTTCATCTAATACTCCAGCCAGAATGGGCCCAATTGTTGCTCTGTAAAGAAGGAGTTGAAAAAATATGCATGATCCGCTTTAAGTGGATGTTAGCGTCTGCACTCCCTTATATCTTTGCTGCTTCAGCAATTAAAACAAAAGAGATAAAGAATCAGTAAAAAAGTGCACATACCCTAAATAGTTCATAGAACTATAAATACTTGACACAAGCGCGTTTGTGGATGAATTATCGGGCATTCCATTTATCCTGCAAGGGAAAAAGAAGCAACAAGCAAGTACACAAATATGATTATAAGAATCAATCAATAAATCAATAAAGTTGACTTCCAATAACTCAACACTCGCCAATTCGAACTTCTCGCTAACTCGAACCAAAACCAATTTCTCTGAAAATCCGCCACTCATTTATCGCGACTTTACCCTTGATAACTCGAACCCTCCAGAAAAAATAAAGGACTCTCTTTTTAGTTTATCTTGAAGGTTCGAGTTATCGGGAGTCGCTGTACTCGTAAAAAATAATTACAAAGGTTCACAAACAGAGAGGAAAAGAAGAGGACTTGATTACACTAATTTAACAGTTCAAATGCAAAGCATACACACACAAAATCACTCACACACACACACACACACAAAAAAAAAAAACAGACACCAACGCATAAGTGACATTGGAAAGCCGAAATCATCATCTCTTGTAGTCAGAGTTCTCGTGGTTGTAATTTATTAAGTCACCGAAACATATTCCCACCTATCATAGCTGTATATTTGCCCGGGAAATTCGTCACAAATATTTATTTATTGTACGTACGAAAATCGTTAACAGACCGGCAAACAGCGGCTGCGAAGGAGACTTCTCACTTGATTTTAAACCGCAGCTTTTGACCTTCAGAATCGAGAGGTTCTACCCGTGACGTCACAGGAAAGATGGCGAATGTTTCGAATTTGGAAGAGCTTTCACAGGGTGAAAATGGACAAATTATACCTTTGCTGTACTTTATATATTTACTAAACAGCTACGTGAACAGAAAATGTACGTTCTTAGGGTTTTCATACTCTTTAAACCTTTATACCCTAAAGTCTGTATTCATATTCCACATACTGTTCTGTATACATTCGTTATGGTACTGACTAGAAGAACTTGCCGATCATTTCCTTTACCTTCATGACCTTAATGTTTGATTCAGAGGAGAAATTAGATGCTGGCCACTCTTTGAGGTTAGAGTATTAAGGTCGCAAATATGAGTATCAAAGCTAACACTTAAAGATGAAGTATAGCTTTGTGCATTGCTGTTAAATTAGTAACACTCCTTTTGCGCCCCCCTTGCATTGGTTGTTGTATTTACTAAAACATATATTGGTGCTTACCTTAAAGTTTTAATAAGCTCAGGCATGATGGGTACAAAACCAAGTGCACCAGAAATTCCATAGAGGAACATTGAAAGAATAACCAGCCAAATCGTCCTGCAAGAATAGCGGGATCGAAGAAGTTTTATCATTAATATAACATAACACATCTCAAAGGTGACTGAACCTCAGTTCTGGAGATAGCCGTGAAACTTGATAATCACAACTACAAATATGTGTCGGATCGCAGGTTCATTGACCTCTGAAGTTTTTGAAAATGTACAAATTGCTAAGGATACGGATTACTTTTGGAAAGCTTAAACCGGTCACCAGAATTTTCTCGGTTTATTAATTTTGTTGACATATTTCCAATACCCTTGAGTTTAGTGTAAAGTAGTGCGAGCTTTAGACATTCACCTCTGACGAGTTATTTATATCTTTTTCTTAATTCCTGAACACAGACCCTTTCCAAAATGTCGAGGTAATAAAGGTTGTTTTGGCTCTTTAACATTGTTTAGGACACAGTATTTACTTTAGTGGATAGAAAAATAAATTTAACACAGTTTGCCACGTATGCAGTAAAATGAGAACCAACCCTTTTTTCTCATAGACCATTGGGTCTTCATACAGCGAGACCCGCAGAATTGCTAAACAAGATGGCTCACGACTCTGATCAACATTTTGTTAGCCTACCTATACCCTCCCTTGTGGACATCACTGGTAAGTAAATATGTATGAACTTGGTGTTTGGTTTATAGAACGTTGAGGGTTAATTGATAGCGTGCTCGACCACGGGTCGAGGGTCTGGGTTCGAGACCTCTGGCCTGGTCACTATCTTGAGTTCTTGGGCCAGAAAGACACGGGTTTGAATTCCGTCCACGCCTGAAACTTTGACTTTAACTAA